GGCGCGACGCCCTGGGCAGGTAGGGTAGGGGACGTCGTCGCCGTCGTCGTTCTACGCTGGCCTCCTTATCCCCCCTCCTCCTCTCCTCCTGCTCCTCCTCCCCCTTCTGATTTCTGATTGAGCTAGATAGCTTTGCGAGAATTGGGAGCATGCAGGCTCTAGACCATCCATCCCCTGAGCGTTCCCGTCCTCTCCTTCTCGCGTTTGACTACGCCCACGCTTTCCCCTCCGTCTCCCACTCGTGGATATGGGAGGTCTTGTCCGCTTGGGGTGCCCCAGGGGCCCTGATTGCTGCCGTTCGAGCCAATTACAACCGTGCTGCCACCCTCTGTGCAGACCCACCTCGAGCTTTTATGTTCTGGATTCTGGCTGGGGTCTTGCAAGGGGACCCCTTGTCAGGCAGCCTATTCGTCCTTGCAGTGCTCCCCTTTTGTAGCGATCTAGAGCGCACTCTCGAGGCCGCTCAGAAGGGAATCGGGAGGTGGTGTGCGGACGATGTGGGGGCGGTGGTCCGGGGAGAGCCTGGCCTGAGAGTCTTGGCGCGAGTGTTCAGAATTTCCAAACGCCTTGCCCGCCTGGGGCTGAAACCAGCTAAGTGTGCTGCCGCCCCGCTTTGGGCTCCCTGGTCGGCGGAGCTCTTCGACCCCACCTCCGAGCTGCTTGGCGCGGCGTGTCCTGAATGGCGGGTGTTCAAGGTTGAAGCCACGCTGGAATACCTCGGATGCACGGTCGGCCCTTCCGCATCTCTCGAGCAACAGTGGGCGGCCCCTGCTGCCAAGCTCGAAGCCAGAGTCAAAGACGCTGTTCGCTCGCATGCTGATGTCCACTCATCTGTAGTTTTGTGCCACGAGCGTGCTCTGAGTGTGATCTCGTACAAGTCTCAGCTGTTCCATCTCTCTAAGCAATTGTGTAGGGGGGAGAAAGACATCCTCACTCGAGTTTTTCGTGCCCCAGGATCCTGGCTTTCCTCTGCCTGTTTCCTCGACCTCCCCTCCTTCGGCGGGCCAAGGATCCAGGGCCTTCGGAGTAATGCACTTGCCGCTATGATGAGGACCGGCATCCAATTTAGTGAGCGTTGCGAGCGCATGTGCCAGCGCCTCGAAGATAAGGCGTGGTCGCACCTGCACGTTGGGCAGGTCAGCTGGAGAGGGCCCACGGGTGCCAAAATGATGTGTCCCTGGCCCTCCTTCTGGCGGGAGCCGGCGGTGGCGAGGGCCCTGCGGGAGGCGGCGGAAGCTCGGGGCTCCTTGGGTCGGGTCCGCGCGGCGGCCCTTGCGGGGCTGAGGTCCCTGGAGACCGAACGTCGGACGGCGCTGGAGCGCTCAGCACCGCAGAGGGCTGAGCGCCCCAGCCCCAGGCTTGTGGGCGCCCGTGGTGCTGCTGCTGGGCCTCGATTTAAAGTGCAGCGAGCCCTCAATCGAGGTATTCTCCCCGTCCTCTATTCCTCGTCGTCCTCTCTTCTCCCACTCATTCGGAAGCGGCTCTTTAAATGGTTCGGGATTACCCCTGAATCTTCTCACTCGTTCCCTTGGTCGGAGGTGCGAGGCGCGCTCGAGATGTCCCCCCCATCCTGGCGCCTGGCGGCACTCCGTACCTGGACAGGGGGTTGGGTCACAGACACCTGACTGCGCAATGTCGACAGAGGCTGCCTGCTCGGCTGCGAATGCCGAGACAGCCTAGCTCACTATATCCACTGCCCCTCTTTCCACTGGCTCATTGCCATGGTCTCTGGCCCTCGCCTTGGTCCCCCCCCTGCCCCTGATCCCGTCCCTGCTCGCCTCGCCCTTCTCCCGCGCACGCCTGCCCATCTCAGAAGACTGGTGATTTTCTATCACCTGCACCGTCTCCTCCACGCCCGCAGCAGGAGATCCATTCACCGCCCAGCGCCGCAGGAGGAATTTCAAATAGCCCAGGCCGCCCGCCTTGCCACGGACTTCGCAGATGGGGCGTGGCAGAGGCGAGAGCGAGGGCAAGCGTAAGGAGAGACTGTCCCTCGGCGACGCTCCGCCTCCTCCCCCTTCTGATTCTCATCTCCTCCCCCCTCCTCCTCCCTTCTCCCCCCTCGTCCTCCCAATTATGCCTTTCTCTTCCTCCTCTTCGTTCCTCCTCGTCTTCCTCCTCCAATTTGTTTGTAAGTAGCCAACGGGGCTCAAGACGGCGTCTTGTGACCTGCGGCTCAAGCGAACCTCGGCATGTTTTGATTTGAAGTATATTGTTCTCGCATGGCGAGTTTGGGCACAATAGTTTGTTCATTCGGCGCCATGGAAGACGTGCGTGGCCATCGTTCGTGTATGTCTGGCCGTGCGATGCGTCTTCTTGCTGATCACGCTGATCGGCGCGTTCGTGGGCTGCAGATGGTTGCGCGTGCCATTCGGCATGCATTGTCTGGGAGTAGAATTCCACACGAAGTCTGTGTATCACACAAGGGCAACGCGTTCTAGTTTGCCAGGTGTCACATATCGCAATGGGAAGAAGCGTGTATACCCATTCGAGAACACATTGAATGCCGTTTGCCTCTTCTCGTTTCATCCGGCGACGCGCGCGAACTTCACGATTCTGCCGTGTACGTGTCCGAGCTTAGCTTCGCTTTGGCCCAAACGCCTACGTTTTTTCAGCCAGCTGCAGTTCCAGACCCAAGGCCACCTGTTTTCTCGATTCCGGAGGCTTTGGAGGTTCCCCAGAGCGCGTACGATAGCCAGCTTACTGCATATAGTGTCTGGTCGAGGATCAAACTGCTCCTCCAGCTGCGCAGCTGCAAGTTATACATTCTTGAGAAGGCGCCATCGTCTGGTTCCAAGGTCTCTTCGGCGCTGTCTTCTGTTTCAGCTTCTTCTGCGAGCTATGTTTCCTCTCGCGCGTCTGGTGGTTCTTGAGCTGGTCTTCGGGAGGCCACCCCTGACCTGCAACGGCAACTTAGTTAGTTGCATACCAAAATGGATTGCAAATGAATTGCGCAGCGAAGGAGATATTTCAGCTCAGGTATGGTAAAAGACCTGGTTAACACTGTGGTGAAGGATGCAGCCCACGTTACGGAATCAGCTTCGCTCCGGCCGTGGGCGACAAACTTGTCAAGGTCTTGCATATCCTTGACGCGTCCACGCAGCGCGTGGACGGGAAGTTCCCGAGGTGTGCAGGCGTTTGCCCCCTGGCCGTCCGAGGGGCGAGCATCGAGTTTCGAGGATCAAGAGTCGAGGATCGAGGATCGTTGATTGCCCCCCCCGCCTTCTTTTTATTCCCAGTCATCCTGTTGCGTTGGGTCCCCGGTTTGAAGAGGTGGCGCCCTCCCATTTTTCGAGCCATCGCAAGGAACTCCATCTAGGGCCCAGAAATCAGGGCCCGCATACCTTCTCCACACCATGTCGGTGCACCTTTCACATGTTTCGTGCCAGGGCCCGCGTATCTTCCCCACACCATCACGTTTCGTGGCGCATTGGGAACTCCACCCAAGGCCCTATTGCCAAGGCCTGCGCGCGTTCTCTACACTCTTTCGGCGCATCCCTCACGCGTTACGTGGCCCCACACAGAGCTCCACCCAAGGCCCCAGTGCCAGGGCTCGCGTGCCTTCCCCACACCATTTCGGCGCACCCTCTCACGTTTCGTGGCTCACTAGGGAACTTCACCCAAGCCCCCATTGCCAAGGCCTGCGCGCCTTCACCACACCATTTCGGCGCATCCCTCACGCGTTTCGTGGCCCCATACGGAGCTCCACCCAAGGCCCCAGTGCCATGGCCCGCGTGTTTTTCCCACCATTTCGGCGCACCCGCACACGTTTCGAGGCCCCATAGGGACTTCCACATAAGGCCCCAGCGACAGGGCCCGCATGTCTTCTCCACACCATGTCGGCACACCCCTCATACGTTTCGTGGTTCACTAGGGAACGTCGCGTAAGGCCCCAGTGCCAGGGCCCTCATGCCTTCTCCACACCATGCCGGGGCACTTCTTACTCGGGAGCCTCACCTAAAGGCCTCAGTGCCAGGGCCCGCATGCCTTCCTCACACCATGTCGGCGCACCTCTCACACGCTTCGTGGCCCCAGAGTGACTTCCACATAAGGCCCCAGTGCCAGCCAGGGCCCGCATGCTTTTTTCACACCATGTCGGCCTACCCCTCGCACGCTTCGTGACCCCATGGTGACCACCTGAGGCCCCACTGTCAGGGCCCGCATGCCTTCTCCAAACGATTTCGGCGAACCCCTCACACATGCCGTGGCCCCATCGCGACTTCCACATAACGTCCCAGTATTCTCCATACCATTTCGGCACACCCCTTACACGGTTCGTCGCCCCATTGGGAGCTCCAGCGAAGGCCCCAGTAACAGGGCTCGCATGCCTTCCCCACACCATTCCGGCACACCGCTCACACGCTTCGTGGCCCCCCCATGTAGCTCCATTGTCGACGGTACTCGCCATTACGGCACTCACAATTGCACATAGTTTGGTCGTTTGCCAGGCTGAAGTTGTTTGATTGTTTCAAGTTCACACGTGCATGTATAGAAACTGAATTGGGGCTGCCAGTCCTCACAACCGGATGTGTTAGCCAGCAAGGCCAGCCCAGAAATGAACATCATCAGGGCCACATGCGATCCCATTGGCGCCACAATCGGCCAGATGATCAGCTCGTTCATTCAAATATTGCCCATTGTGGCTTTCCATTTTTTCTGAAAGCAGTATGAGAAGCAACCTGATCAAAGGTATGACGAACACGAAGAACGAGTCGAAGGTTGGTCCCCCCCGGGTGCGCCACTGAGCCACGCCGGCCGCGTCTCGATGATGATAGGTTGTGAAGATGGCAGCAAAGCAATATGAATACGAACCCAAGACAAAGTGAAACATAAAGCAGACAGTTCACCAACATGATTGGAATGATGAGATGCACCAATCTATCCAGGCTCATTTGGGTCCAGGATGGTAGGCCCACAGTAGTCCTGGAGCGAGGAAGAAGAGGAGGAGGAGGCAACAGTGAAGCCCCACCCAGACACGTCTGTATTAGGCCCGGCGGTCGCCGAACCATCGCAAGAAAGTACGAGGGCCTCGTGTACTCGAAACTCTCCCGGGGCAGGCTGCTGAGGAAGTTGGTCCCCTCGCCAGTCTGCCGGAGGTCCTCCCCCTGGCCCGCCGCCTGCTGCCGGCGGCGCCCGCTGCTTGATGCGGGGCAGAGGTGGAAGAGCAGCACGATGCATATGTTCCACTGGTTGGGAACGGCGCTGATCCAATTCAAGCAGAACTAGTTGTTGACGACGCTCCGCGGCACAAACCACAGTAGCAATGGCGTTCACGTGTGGAAGGTGCTCCGAGATGTACTTCGCCTCCTCCAAGGACGGCGTCGTGCCTGCTCCCAGACCGTGCAGGACCAATCCGCACCGTGCCAGGCAAGGGGGAAGACCGTCAGGATAAGTATTCCCAGGTACGCGTGCATCAAGCACGCCGCGTGCAGCCTCATTGCACGGGCAGCTCCGCAAACGGTGTATGGTGGTCTCGACCGCGCCCTTGCAGCGGACGCAGATCTCGTCGCCGTGGTTCGGGATGCGGGTCTTGCTCAGGGAGGTCCAGATACCGCCGGTGGTGAGCGCGGTGCCGCCGTAGTGCAGCTGCGCGCCGGACATGTACTCTCGTGCCCCACGCACCTCGGAGAGACCTTGGTGCAGGCCGCCGAAATCCTTCGGCCGGCGGGCGGCCTCCCGCTCAGCAAGGCAGCGCCTTCAGAAAACACGCAGGTCGTGAAACTGAACGATCAACGCACTCCTTCCGCACCACCATCTTCTTGCCCACCTTGCTTCTTCACCTTGCATGCACTGTCTGCTGTACTGACTGCTTCTCTCCTGCAGCTCCACTTTGGCTCTAGGGAAACGGAAAAGGAGCGAGCCTGCGCCTCGCGCGCGCGTCGGTCGGCGGGCCGGCCGCCTCCCTTCAGTGTTCCTTTAGTTTATGCTTGACGGCATTATCCTTTCTTCCCCACGTCATCGGCGAAACCCACTGACCATGAGACATCAACGGAACATCTTGCAGGGATTATGAGTGTCCAGGCAAAAGATTGGTTATCAGCCGAAGCGACGGCACAGCCGTTGGCTTCGCAGAGCATGGGATCACAGGAAGGAGTGTTCGGGCGAACAGATGATCTATACCCTCCCAAGCGTAACGAAGGTGTGGCCGCCTCTACGAGGCGACCAAACTCTGTTGATCTTCCCAGAAGGCAAGCGTCAGAGACTGTGTTTGACTTGACAGAAGGGGATTCCTCGGTTGATTCGGCGACCAGGTCTAGAGCAGCACAAATCTCAGGCGGAAGGTATGACACAGCCAAAACTTCCGCCGAACGAACGTCTGGTTTGGCGTTGGTCCATCCGGGTTCCCAGCCGCCGATTGACGTAGATCTCGAGATGGAGGAATTGTTGGATCAAGTCCCCATAGGAGTGCCAGGTGTTGGGAGCCCTGGCCTACAACGCGCAGCTCAGTTCGAGTTGCATGGACAGAGCGAGGACGTGAGTGACTTGCAATTGGAAAGGGGCAGTTCGCACTCAACTGAAAAGAAAGAAGAACATGCACAACTCTATACTGCGCCCAGGCCATCGTATCATCTCGATTCTCTCCCCGATGGATGTATCGGGCTCGCCTCGGGCGCAGACCCGTCAGTGAAAATGACAGTTCATCATGTCACGGTTGAGGCAATCCAGAGGGCAATTCTTGATTATAGATCTCGAAGACGGAGAAAGCCCCGAGAGAGGCAGATGCTCGTCGGCACAGCCGATATCGAGCATTCCCGATGTTGCGCATACAAGAAGGAACGCGCGATAATCTGCAGACACGGCACCCCATCCGATGACAAAGAAGCCGAAGGGCGAGAATGATGATTTAAATTCTTCACCTTTTATGCAAGGTTTTCACCGCCTAGACTTCGCGTTGCCCCGGACTAGCAGGGGCGGGGTGCCAGAACTTGACGAGCTCGCAATGCAGGACGAAAGAGACGAAACAGCACAGAAGCGAAATGCTGATTTTAGTAACAGGGGTGTAAGAACAAGGGAGCAACGCACGCCTACCCCCAGCAATGCGCGAGGTCGTTCCAGCAAGGCCCCCAGGGCCGGGCGCTCCAGTTCCAGGGGATTCGACGCCCTTGCATCACCACGATTGTCGTCGAATAGAACCACAAGCAGCTTCCCGATGCGGGAAAATTGTTGGAATGCCGGGCCCACGTGTCCGACTCCGGCGAAAAATCGACGCCGGGGGAAGGCGCGCAAACCGGGGGGGGCCATGTCGAAGGCCTGCGTGCTCACAGTGTTCGATTGTTTGTCCTAAGTGTAGTATAGCTTGGCTTTGCGAGGAATGCGTTGCGATGGAAGAGCACAATTGTCAGCGCATCGCCATTCAAGAGCGGCAGGAAAGACAAAGATAGGATCGATAACAATTGAGGGCTGCGAGCGCGCAAATACAGCAGATCATCCTTGAGGCGCAGGTAGAAAAGGAGGCCGCTGAGGAGGCTAAACGCACGCTTGCAATATCCGAGGCAGAGAGGCGAGCAATGGCGCAACAGGTGGAACGTGAGAACATGTCACTGTGGAAGATGCGCAGAAACGAATGGAGCAAGCCGAGGCCAGCGCAGCAGGAGTTATAGGCGAAGCTCAGCGGCAGACCCGCTCAAGAGGAGAATGAAAGATTGAGATTCCAGAGAATGGCCGAATATCTGGTGCCGGACTCCCAGCAGAAGACTGAGAGAGAGAGAGGGAGAGAGAGAGAGAGAGAGAGAGAGAGAGAGAAAAAATAAAAAACAAAGAAAGCTGATCACAGTGAAATTGCCGATGCCGCCAGGGGGGGAGAAGAAGGAGCCCGATGCAAGCGGCGCGAGAAGGTCAGGATCTCCGCAATCAACTTGAAGCTGCTAGACTCGAGGCTGAAAGAGTAAAACCAGAAGCTCTGCGAGCCCTTCGAGAACAAGAACAGAAGGCCCAGGTAATTAGAAATGAGGATCAAGAGAGAATGGCCGCCGCCTGGGATCGCCTGGAAGGGCGCGCAGACGAACAGACGAGAAACGACGTCCACGTTCTTTCCACCCGGGCCGAGAGGGCAAGGGACACAGGAAGTTGAGGTCTGACTTGGAGCAGCATCGGTTGGACAAAGAATCGCGGGATAAAGTCAGGGCTGCCAGGGCAAACCGCGGCATGAGTCTTTCTGGGGGCAGGGCCTGCGACCGCGGCTTCGCCGGCGGAAGCGGGTTCCAACGAAAAGTTCGGATCGACGCCGGCACGTCCGATGCGTCTTGAGCCGCCGCCTCGTCCGGTCGCTGCTCGTCCCGCTCGCAAACGCGACAATGCGCAAGCTCAGACACGAACGGGCAATCCGAGTCAGATCTGCCACTTCTGCAACGAGCCGTCAATCGAGGAATGCGCGGGGCGCTCAAGACGCACGGGTAGGGGCCGCCTGGCGACGGGCACCAGGCGGCGCACTGAGCGCGCCTGGAAGAAAGAGTTTGGACAACAGGATGGTCTCGAGGAAGGGGGGGGGGGGGGCGCAAGGCATCCCTGATGCTCGCCGTGCCAACGACGATGCTGATGCAAAAGGCACCGAGACACTTGGATTTGCCTAAGGATGTTGGATCAGAACGCCAGACAAGCAATCGCGCCGATCTCAAGGGTATGCCAGTATTCAAATCAGACAAGTCGGATTTCGATATAATGCCAATGCTGACTCTTCCATCTATGCCCGCGCTTCCTCTCGCAAAATCGCATTTCATTCCTGGGCCGGCTATCGAGAAGCTTCCTGGAACGAGTGAAGGTTCAATGCGGGAGTATGTTCAAGGAGTGAATCTTGGGAATGCCTTTTGAAAAACACCAAAATTTCAGGGCCTCCTGACGACGTTGACTTGCCCGGGCACCTCCCTTTCAGCGCCGGCCCAGCCGCGACTGGCGAAGGAGGTGGAGATCCGGGAGGGCGCGAAGATGACCAGAGAGATGACCAGAGCACAGCCACCAGCACGGACATGATCGCTGCAATACATTTTGACGACAGGTAATCCCAAGCCGCCCAAAGGCCCCCCAGGGAGACCTGGCGGCGGCGGCGGCCCAGGCGGAGACGGCAGCGGGGGGCCGAATGGCCATCATGACCCAACCTGGCAGCCGTTTAATGCCAGCCAAGTGGATGTGAATTGGAGGAGCGTTGGAAACAATGAAGAGTTCAACTTGCTGGACATACCGAGTGCCCAGACACTCCGCGAATGGAAGCAGCATTGCATCATATCGGTGGCTGGATCATGGCATGACGTCAAGGCGGCACAGACGTGGGTCACTGACGCCATGGAACCCGACGGAATCCTTAGAGACTCCGGGTCAACGATGCGTCTCGACATGATGATCGCAACGAATACGCTTGACATTCGCCAAGATGAAGCGCAGCCAACGTCTGTCGGTGCAGCATGCTCATTTTCTTTCGCAAAGCAACCGCATGGAGCATTCCTGTCAGATTGAGGGGCGACTTCTCAGTGGCCGAGAAATGATGCGCGCGATATGTGTTTGGTGCTCTGTCAGGTTTGAAAGTGGACAACACTGGGCATGTCGAGATTTGTTTCAAAGAACGATTGACCGACAGAAGCCCAATCAAGATTCGCACAGCTTCGTGAGTGAATGGATGGAACGATATCAGGAACTGTACGGTGCCAGGGAACCGTCGGATGAAATGAAGGCTTCAATGCATGCGCATTTCTACGAACAGATTTGACAGGTTCCGAGGCTCGAGTACGCAATGCAGTGGTATGAATTGTCGACAGGTGCTCGGGGCACGGGGATGCGCTCTCATCGACAGCTTTTACTTCAGGTTGAATCACTTATGATACGGGACAGAGAACAGCGGGCCATATCCGAACGTGAATCGACCCCCATGCCAGAAGTAGAGAGGCTCGCCTGGCAGGTGGGGCGATCGAGGGGGGCGGGGGCGGACAAAGAGCCTCCGCCATGGCGGCGACAATCCGTCGGTTAGGATTGGCCACGGACAAGACGACGAGCGGAAGGACTAAGGGCGAGACGACTTGCAAGTTTGTGAAGCAAGGAAAGAACTGCCCAGAAGCAGGGCACGGGTGCCCCTACAATCACGAGAGGCCTAAAACACCGGCCGCGCTGGCAAAGCTGGGGGCGGGCGGCGATCGCAGGGCCACCGGCGGAAAGAACGACCGAAGAGGCAGGAGCGAGAAGTCTGGAAGTAAAGGCCCGCAAGGAATGGACCGGCCTCGCTCCTCGACTCCGTCGAACAAATTCGGCAAGTCGAATGCGGCGCAGTCGCGGGCGAGGAGTCAGTCGGAGGCCTCGCGGGGCCAGAGTGAGATGGCGTGCTGCGCATGGCCGCGCGACCCTCGCAACTGCAAGGGCCCTCAGAGCGGGCGCTATAAGCAGCGCAGAGGCTTGTCCGAGGCCGAGAAAATCAAACGGGATAAATACGAAGAGGCTCAGCTCAAGGCTGGCAAGTCCTTAGGATATCAGAGAACCTCAAGGCAAGCTGATTCCGCCGCTGCGAATGCTGGCGACGCTACGCCAGGAGAAACCCCAAGAAGCAGATCATCGAGCAAAGGGCGGACAAACAACAAAAAACGCACGCGCACGCGCACACAAGCACACACACACAAAAAACAATGGCAATGGAAAAGGGGAAGACACCATGCAGGGTGTTCACCGAGACAGGATCTTGCTCGCGAGGTGAAGATTGCTGGTTCGCGAAGAACACGCCAAACCATCCGCGACGGTGGCGAGGCACTGGCGCATTGTTGGCCAGTGCCAAGAAAATCGTCGCATCGTTCTCCCTTATCTTGCTGACGCTTACTTGCCTATTTGGAAATGCGGCCGCGACATTCCCGCCGGCTAAGCCGATGAGGGAAGGGCAGGCATAGAGCCCTTGGCACAGCCAGCCGGCCCCCTATTCGCGTGTCCTGCCCCGCTGGCTAGGGGGTCTCGCGGTCTACAA